CAATCATCTTCATATCTTGATCCAGCTTAGGTCGTTGGGTGTCTTGTCGACCTGCCCACACTTGGTGCTTAAACTAGTACGATATTCGTGTACTAAACAGGTGCATGAAAAAATAATTTGAATAAAAAAGTAAAAGAGTTTAGTTATTGTGAGTATATACAAAATAAATAAATATAAGTTTCATAAAGCAAAAACTACTATACATTGGTATTTTATTTCAAAATCTCAAAAATTTCTTTAGTTCTACTTAAAGTTTATCAACTTGGAAAAAAAAAATACGATGATGGGCTAAAGTTTATCAACTTAGAAAAATAAGATAAATGATGATAATTAAGATAATGGACGTGTTTAGTTAAGATTTCGTGAATTATATTATCCATATAATTATAATATATAATTTTAATTCATCATTATTCATTATGCAAACAAAGACACATACTAAAAATGGGCTAAAATTTATCAAATTGAAAAAATAAAGAGATATAATGAATGGAATAAATCGTTAATAAAATAAAATAAGGAAACACAGATTTGTGTAATAACAAATTTGGTAATGAAAGAGATATTGATGGGAGACAATAATGTATGATGAAAAAATTATTTATGATACTTTCTAAGTCAATTTTGATTCCAAATTTTTCATTCGAACCTAAATATAAAGCATGATATACATGTAAAATTTTAAAACGTTCGAACCTGTCAATTAAGCGCAGCACGTTTTGAATTAATATAAATATATTAAGAGATTTGGTTAGGACAAAGACCGAGTTTGTCTTTAAATTAAACCTGTCGGGCTCCCACTGCCTCAAGAGAATGCCACGCACTCATTCTCATCTTTTTATTTCTCAAGCACTAAACAAATCCACGTTCCCCTAGTTCTTACTTGCACAGATTTTATTCCAATGTCCTTTCTTTTTTTTTCTTTTTTTTTTATTATTACTTCATTCTTTTATTCATTCTTACGTTATTCCTCATTTCCGCTTTATGGTTTAATCTGCGTGTTTGATATATTGATTACATTATAATCAAGGTATTATAAAATTAATAAAAATCAAGAATATAACTAAAAACATGACATTTCCAAATGATAATCACGCAATTAACCCGCCCATTGCGACCGTTTTAAGTTAAACATTTTTCTTACAAGAATGTTTTTCTTAAATGTGTAATATTATGCAAAATAAAATAGTAAATGAGCTATTCAAAAATTTGTCATAAACGAAAAAACAAAATAACTTCAAAAACTAATAGTAAAAAATCAGTTACTCATAAACAATCAAATTTAGTATATTTATAATTAAATAGATTTAACTCTCTAAAAAAATTAAGCCAAGCAATAACTAATCTGTTTCTAATGATTAGATTCAGACAGTTAGCGATTATCTCATCATTTCAATTTCAAGTCTAGAGTCGGTTTATCTTAATAGCTTGAGGAGATCATTTTGATTTTCAGAGCCATAAATGCATGTACTTTGGTCCACATCATGAGTTGTACTTGCTCTGTTGTTGGGCCCACCAGTTGACTCTTTGATATTTTATTTTTATTTATCTTCCAAAGTCCACACTTTGAGGTTAGTTACAGAGAATTAGGAACAAACACCCTTCATAATACAATATGAATATTTATATTTAAAAAAAAAATAAATCATTAGAAAAATGAAGTCAAACCCCTCAATATCCCACCCCTTCTCCCATATCCTTGGGTATAAATATGTTGCTCCACTTTTATGAATTTCAAATCAAATTAATTTCCTTTTTCTCCTTCAAAGTTAATAGAGCCTTCTTTTCTTTCTTTCATACTCTTTTTTTTTTCTCCAATTAATCCACAAGTAAAAAATAAAATAAAAATGGAGGCCTTTGGAGCTTTTCTTGATGAAGAGTGGGAGACTTTGAGCAAAATGTTCTCCTTTGAGGACTCTGATTTTGATGAAGACGAGACCGCCCTAGCCTTTCTCGACAAATTCGACCGTCTACGCATCTAGATTATTCTACATATTATATTTTCTATTATTATTTAGTAAGAGATATTTTATTTCCTTAGGAGTGTTTTATTATTTAGGAATAAATAAGATAATTATCTTGTTGCACAAGATAATTAGAATTAGGATTCTCTTTCATAGGACTCTATATATTGTCCCTCTCTTATGAAGTTTGATCGATGAACATTGAATAAAATTAAGAACTCTTGAGTTTTCTCTTATATTCCTTTCGTCTACCACGTTGCTGCATCAGTTGGTATCAGAGACGAGTGGAAGACGGCCTTCAAAATCCGTGAGGGTCTTTTTGAGTGGCTGGTGATGCCCTTCGGCCTTTCTAACGCGCCCAGTACTTTCATGCGCGTGATGAACCAGGCCCTTCGTGATCTCATTGGCACATGCGTCGTCGTTTATTTCGACGATATTCTCATTTATAGTCGGACACTGGAGGAGCACTTGGAGCATGTTCGGGCTGTTTTATGTATTCTTCGGGCTGAGTCCTTCTTTGCTGCGCCGAAGAAGTGCTCCTTCTTGGTGGAGTCGGTGCTTTTTTTGGGGTTCTTCATCTCGGGCGATGGTATTCGGGTCGATGAGTCGAAGGTCTCGGCGATTCGTGAGTGGCCTACACCGACGACGTTCACGGAGGCGCATAGCTTTCATGGACTGGCGTCGTTTTATCGTCGGTTCATCTCTCACTTCAGCTCCATCGTCGCGCCAATCACGGATTGCCTTACGGGGAAGGTGTTTACATGGACCCCGGCGGCCGCGACGGCTTTTGACGTGATTAAGGAGAAGCTCACGTCTGCGCCCGTTTTGGTTCTCCCGGATTTTGGTCGGCCTTTTGAGTTGTCTTGTGACGCTTCGAAGGTCGGGATTGGGGCTGTTCTCAGTCAGGATGGTCGCCCGGTTTCCTTTTTCAGTGAGAAGCTTTCGGGACCTCGTAGTCGTTACAGCACCTACGATGTGGAGTTTTATGCGATCGTACGTGCGGTCCGACATTGGCGCCACTATTTGTTCCATCGTGAGTTCGTGCTTTACTCCGACCATGAGGCATTGCGTCACCTTGCTTCGCAGGATCATATCTCTTCCCGCCATGCCTCGTGGGCTGCCTTCTTGCAGCAGTTCACTTTTGTGCTCCGTCATCGTTCTGGGTCATCTAATCGGGTTGCTGATGCATTGAGTCGTCGGGCCCTTCTTCTGACGGACATGCGTGTCTCGGTGGTGGGCTTTGATGTATTGCGCGAGGCTTATGCCGATGATCCATTTTTTGGCCCGATTCTTCGTTCCTTGCGCGACGGTCCCATTCCGGACTACACTTTGTCAGATGGGTTCCTTTTTCGTGGAGTTCGTTTGTGCATTCCTGATGTCAGCCTTCGGCTGAAGCTCATTGGCGACCTCCATGGCGCGGGCCATGTGGGCCGGGATCGTTCGGTCGAGCTGGTGAGCCGCTCGTATTTTTGGCCTAGTCTTCGCCGTGATGTCTCTCGTTATGTGGCTCGTTGTCGGGTGTGCCAGGTGTCCAAGGGTGTGGCGAATAATGCTGGGTTATATAGACCGCTTCCGATCCCGTCCCGCCCTTGGCATTCTATCAGCATGGATTTCGTCTTGGGGTTACCACGCACACAGCGTCAGGTGGATTCTATTTTTGTCGTAGTGGATCGCTTCTCGAAGATGGTCCATTTCATTCCGTGCAAGCGGACTTCGGATGCTGTTCACGTGGCTCTCCTCTTCTTCCGTGAGGTTTATCGCTTGCATGGGTTGCCTTCTTCGATTGTGTCCGATCGTGATACGCGTTTTTTGAGCCATTTCTGGAGAAGCTTGTGGCGTATGGCCAATACCCGGCTCGATTTCAGCAGCGCATATCACCCGCAGACTGACGGCCAGACGGAGGTGGTTAACCGTTCATTGGGTAATCTGCTGCGTTGCTTAGTGGGAGACAATGTACGCACATGGGATCAGCGGTTAGCACAGGCTGAGTTTGCTCACAACTCTGCCGTCAATCGTTCTACGGGTTTTTCTCCTTTTCAGGTGGTGTATGCTGTCAGTCCCCGTGGGCCTTCTGATTTGATCTCTTTGCCTCAGCATGGGGACGGCGATAGGCGCGCCGCCGAGCTCATTTCCGATTTACAGGCCACGCATGCGCGGGCCCGGGACCAGCTCGAGGCATCGACGGCCGCATATAAGCGGCGGGCGGACTTGCGACGGCGCCACGTGGAATTTGACGTGGGCGACTATGTTTGGGCGGTATTGACTAAGGACCGATTCACGAGCCATGAGTACAGCAAGTTGTCGGCAAGGAAGATAGGACCGGTCGAGGTGATTGAGAAGATTAATCCAAATGCTTATCGTTTGCGGCTTCCTTCCCATATTCGCACACATGACGTTTTTAACGTCAAGCATCTGGTTCCCTTTGCGGGGGACAACTCGGAGGAAGACGAGACCCATTCGGATTCGAGGCCGAATCCTTCCCAACCGGGGGAGGATGATGAAGACGAGACCGCCCTAGCCTTTCTCGACAAATTCGACCGTCTACGCATCTAGATTATTCTACATATTATATTTTCTATTATTATTTAGTAAGAGATATTTTATTTCCTTAGGAGTGTTTTATTATTTAGTAATAAATAAGATAATTATCTTGTTGCACAAGATAATTAGAATTAGGATTCTCTTTCATAGGACTCTATATATTGTCCCTCTCTTATGAAGTTTGATCGATGAACATTGAATAAAATTAAGAACTCTTGAGTTTTCTCTTATATTCCTTTCGTCTACCACGTTGCTGCATCAGATTTTTTGCTGCATTGTGACGACAATAGCCCGTTTTCGAAAAACGACAACACCCCTTTAACTTGCTTGGCTTCTGGTCTACATGTGGCCGAAATTAATGCAAATTTGTGTGTACCATTTGATCATTCTATTGAAAACACAAATCCTTACTGCATTTCACAAATCCTTCCAGTTGCCGACTACTTTGCCAAATTTGTTGATGGTGAGAGCAATAATTACACCACATTTGAGTCCATGGAGGATAACGATCAAGGGCTAATGCAGCTCCCGATTTTTTCCGATGACATCATGGGTGAATTTCTCGGGTTGAACGAAAAACCGGGAATTGCAGGGAATCAAACTGCAGACAATTGTGTGAAAATCAAGAGGAAGATTGAGGCCCCACAAGATAATTCGTCCGAAAATCCTAAGAAAAAGACTCGGGCTTCAACAGATGTGAGTATGTGCTACATTTTTATTTTACTTCAGGGCTGGTTTTGCAAGTTATTCATTTTGGTCAACAAATGTGGTAACTCTATTTTCTCATGGACTGCAATTTATTTCTCAACACAGGCTACCAAAAGTAAAAGGAATTCATCACAGTCGAAAAAGAGCAAGAAAGGGACTCAAATTGCTGACATTGATGAAGAAATGAACAAGAATGGTGGTGGCATTACTGGGCCCGGAAAGGGCCCGGCAACTGATCCTCAAAGTGTCTATGCAAGGGTATAATAATAAATTTTTGGACACATTTTATTATTGAAAATGATGCCCCTGAAGTCCAGTGTAATAACAAAATGGCATTGTTAATTTTGAAAATATGTACTATGTACCCTCCTTGTGTTATAACTTAAAATTATTACTATTATACAAAATATTTGTAACCTTTTTAGATAAATGAACTCATTTGTAATAAGCCTAGACTTCAGGGTGCTTTTTTGTAAGTATCTCTAGTTTCTTTGACATTATTGTCCATCAATCAAATATGATCTAACCTATGATGCAATTATTTCATCTCAGAAAAGAAGAGAAAGAATTAATGAGAGACTCAGAATCTTGCAGAATCTTGTTCCAAATGGAACTAAGGTAAATAATTTTTTTCTGGCAGCTAACTTTATTTATTTATTTATATATTTTCTGTTCTATACTTTCCAATTTCATGAATTTCTTAAGTGATCATACGATGATTATGTGAATCAGGTGGACATTAGCACAATGCTTGAGGAAGCTGTCCAATACGTGAAGTTCTTACAGCTTCAGATCAAGGTAACATATTTCCCTTATTTTATCGACAGGTTCAATTTTTTGTGCTATTAGATATAACGATCAAGATTTAATTGCATGTTATAATTTTGATTTATTTCATATTTCCCTTGTTTGCAGCTGCTAAGTTCAGATGATTTGTGGATGTATGCCCCAATTGCTTACAATGGAATGGAAATTGGGCTTTACCAGAAGATTGTTCCAAATCCATGGCCTTAAAATTAATCAAAACTTAATATTATCATATTTCTCTTCTCATAATAACCAAGTGAAAGAGAGGCAATTTTATATGAATGCTAACTTGTGAACCAAATACTATTGAGGATTTTGAGATTTCAAATGCGACTATTAATTATGGTTGTTTTTTGTACAAAACAATGAAATAAAATAATTCATTTACAAAACAATAGAAATACGTACTTAATGAAAGTATTTTTGAATGTATATATTGAACTATGATTGCACGTGTAAGTTAGAGAGCTTGCACGAGTACCACTTCTCATCAATTGAGATAGAGCTAGCAATTCTTGTACGGCTATGTATGTTGATGTGAAAAATAAAGGATGTTTAATTTTTTTTTTTTTTTTTTTATTTTGNTTTTTTTTTTTTTTATTTTCTTTTACATTTGATGTACTTATTGTCGGAGCAAATCATGACGATTTACTTGAATTTTTTTTTGAAATGTTGTTCAACTCAACCATGCCCTACAATTATGGATCTGGTTTTCACTATAATATGGGCATATGACTTATTTTATTTTAGTTTTTCAAGTAGATACACTGAAAGGAAATGGATGTTGGGATAATATCCTAAACCTGCAACACAATAGTTGAGAATGTTAATCACTACACTATTATAAGAAGTAATGAGAGCTAACTCCCATGTCCAAGTACTCAATAATGTTAATGAAGAAAAATGAAGTATAGCTTAAGTTGAATTAAGCTATAAGTTGAGTCACTGCTATATTTTTAGGTAACATTCCCCTCTATATATAATTTCATAATGCGCTGAGCCTACGTGACATACTTTCATGCTTCTGAATCCTATTTGGCAAAAAACTATGTTTTGAAGTTAGGTTTGGATATAAATTAATATTTTTTATCACACTAAATCCATGATTGATTTTTTCCTTCTTTACTTCTACAATTAGTTACCATAAACTATTTTGTGTTTCATTTTCCTATATTACCATACATCACACTAGTGTGTATCCCGTGCGATGCACGGGTAAACAATAAGACTTTCATAGCATGTAAAATTGTATTATAACACGTGCATAATAAAATCTACATCTTAAGTTCATATTTTATGTTTTTTAATGGAATAAAAACTTTCATTTTAGGGATCATATGTATTTAATCTGTCCAAATTTATCTATTAGGGGAGATATGTGATAAATGTATATATTAATTTAGAGGATGATATGTGATAAATCTATTTAAATCTTGTATACATCACGTTTTACAATTAAAGTAATTTAAATTTGGAGATTATTCTTATTTCGAATATCCGATTTAAACAAAGACTATAAAAATTTTTATCGTTTCAAAATTAGACCCGTGTATTATTTTTTATTATAAATAATTGTCAACAAAACAATTGAATCAGCCGCAACTTTATTCTTTTAATTGAAACTGCCCGATTTGATGGTTAGAAAAAATATTTTCAAAAGAAATAAACAAATGATTTTTTTTTTTTTTTATACTTTTACCCTTAAATTAGCCGTAATTTTTGTAAAATAAAATCTACAAATCAAAACATATGTATTAGCCGATTTTATAGGAAAAAAAGTTTCCAATATTTTGAAAATGCAAAAGTATATTTTTATGGTTAGAAAAAATAACACATAATTTTTTTTATTATTAAATCAGTCGTATTTTTTTTTATTAAAAAAAAGCTACCGAGCAAAACAGTTGTATTAGCCGAATATCTGGTTTTAAGTTTGGAGAATATAATTGACTGATATTTAATTGAATTAGCAGTCGTGACGTACATTTTTATTCAAATTTAAAAATAGCTTCTTGTAACCAATAACCAAATTTAATTGATGCAGTCCGTGCATTATCAGCTTTTGATATGCATATCGTGTCAAACCATCGCAAATATTCAATAGACCAAATTTAAATAGCAGCCCGCTTTTTTGAAAATAAAAAAGTAACAAACTCCTCATTTTAAAGACAACATTTAACGTTGTATGTTTTTTATTAAAAAAAAATATTAAAAAGTTACTATAAATGGTATGTAATTAATGTTGATCAGTTTTGACCAAGGATTGACTTACTATTTTTGATAAATGGTAATTCTTATTATATATGTATAGATTTCATTCTTTTATATAATTCATTCATTAGTTTGTATAAATGTTTCCTCTTCTTATTTTAAGATTTTATAACTTTTTTGTTTGTATTTTATTTTTCATATATGATATATCAAATTAACTTATACAAAACAGTAATATATATCCTTATAAATAAAATTTAAATTTATTTATCAAACTAAATTAAATTATATTAAATAAAATCATAAATTATATTATAAAATAATAAAAATTGGTATGTATTCTTTTAAAAATGATATTTATTTCAAATCTAATTGGTATGTTGTCAATCTAATAAAAATAAATAATATTTATCTAAATTCTAAAATTACATAAAAAGTTAAAAAACTGTAAAGCACAACTGACACGATACTTGATGTATTAGGCATCTAATTAAGTAAAAAAATTAATCTATTTTGTTTAATATTAAATAAACATATTCTACACTTATGCATATGCATATCACCATATTATTTCTATCTATTTAAGATATATATTTTTGTACTTATATAATAGTAAATAATATCGATATTTTATATGATATAAGTAAAAATATTCAACACGGGTTGATATTTTCATTTAATGTACTTTAATTATTATGATTAAAAAATATAATTTGACAATTTAATTAAAACTCAAAGTAATATTTTATATAAAATTAAATAATTTTAGTTTTTAAAAAAATTAATATTTTTTACAAAAGCTTTCTAATTTAACACCGTAGATTACACGGGTATTGAACTAGTAAAATATGAAACCAAAACCAAACATCCGAAAAAACCGAAAAAGAACCACAAGCCCAAAAAAAACCTGTTCTATGTTCTATACTTGTACACAGCTGCAGCAGGGCCTGTTCTATGCATTAAAATTCTAAAATCCCAAATGCACAAATAAGGGCCTATAATCATAAAATTTTTTTAAAAAAAAATGCATTGCATTCACAATATTCAATCACAGCAAGGCTGTTTTTTTACTTTTTTATTAACATAGATTATGTAATAAGCAATGACTATTAAGTATTAAGTATTAACTAAGGGGTCGTTTACTAGCAGTGATAGGATTAGATAATTCAATCCATCCAAAATGCCACGTCAGACAGAATGAGTTGGTTACTGAACATGATAGAGTTTTAAGCCAATCCTATCCTCTGTTTACCTAAGATGATTAAAATCTAGTGGTTTAAACCTAATAAAGGAGGTTTCTATTTTACCCTTCTCAATTAACGTATGTAAATTCCGCTTCTCGTCTTCCTCTTTCATTTTCCAAAACTCTCAACCCTAATTTCGAATTTGTATCCAAATCGACGAACCCTAATTTCGAATTCCAAATCGACGAACCATAACTTCGAATTTGAATCCTACATTTTCTCTACATTTTCGATAGTACAGAAGCCACGGTGGTGAGATTTCGAATTTCAATCCTACATTTTCTTTGCAGTCGGACGAAGGCAAAGTGGCGCAAGTTTCACCCATCGAAGATTTGAAAAAATGAGGTCGAAGAGCACGACTATTTGACGAGGTATAACTCGGTGTCCATGTGAATGTGTTATATGATTCCAAGAGCAAATGTTTTCCCCTTTCGTCCCTTTTATAATTGCATTTGAATTGAGAATATACGAATCTATTTCATTCGTTCTTAGAATTTCGTGGTTGAGGCAGTGGCAAAAAGAAGAAGGAATTTTGGTGTGAACCCTCTGTTTCAAAATACATCCCAAGAGCCGCGAGCCCCCAATCCAATTTCGTCGACACCGACACCCAAGTCTTCAATCTAGCTTCCTCTTCCATTTTCTTTTACAAGGTAAATATGCGCTACAGAATGTATTATGTTTTATTATCTGTTTCAAAATGATCTGAAGGCATGCTTATTAGATGGAACATAAAGGGAAGATGCGGTACTTGCTTGTTCAGTTTAAGTCATGTCTATTCTCTGTGTTTGCAAATGATCTACAAGCATAGTAAAGTTTACTCATCATTGAAGGCATGGCCGATAATGATGAGTAGTCTCTGTTTCTATGCTTTCTACATGATTTTATCATACTAATGACCTTTGATCTTATGAGGTCTATGCTTATTTTTTATGTTATGTTGATTGGCTTTAAAGGTGGGAAAACTAATATATGTCCTGTTCATTGCATTTTTGCGTCATTGTTTTTGTGTATCCTGTTTGTGCCTCTTTGAAAAAGAGATAAATCTCCTGTTTGTGGGAGGAGAATGTGTTTGATATGTTTGAATCCACTATTTTGCAGGTTGTTATATTTCGGTTTATAAGGCCTATCCCTTGACTACAGTTTATGTTTTTTTCAATTGATGCTTAGTGTATGTTTTCGGTGTCGTTGGTGTCTTATAAGCTATGTGTCTAGTTGTCAGAAAAAGAATTTGATGCATGTGGTACGTTTTTGTTGCATTTTTTTGGTTTACAAGCCAAGTGTTAAATTGTTTTTCAAGGAAAAAAACATGAGTTATTCAAGTTCAAGTTCATCAAGAAGAGTAGCCGGTGTCTTTTGTACCTGCGGTGAGGTTGCACGTCTGCAAACTTCGTGGACTACCAACAACCCAGGGAGGAGGTACTTTGATTGTGCCCAAAATGGTTGTCGCTTTTGGAATTGGTTTGATCCTCCGATGTGTGCAAGATCAAAAGAAATAATCCCCGGCCTCTTGAGTAAAATAAACCGGTTACAAGCTGCAAGTAATCGCCACAATGCCGAGTCTGCAACTGAATTTGAGGACAAAGACAAGGAAATGTACATGAAAAAAATAAAGAAACTGGACAAAGAAATTGCACAACTGAAGAAGAAGACCAAAGTTCTTGTGCTTTTACTTGTAATCTCAATCGTGTGGATGCTTATCACGAATTAAGCATAATAATACGTATCTACTTTTTATGGTTTGTGTTAGGTTTTTGTTTAGTTTTGTTGTACTCTTCTATATGTACTCATCTACTTTCTATGTCTTATAATCTGGAACAGCATTATGTAGTTCAACCGTGGTTTGAATGAAATTTCTTTTGTTTTGTTGTATCTGTGTCCCTTTTTAAATAACCTTCGATATGTCAATTGATTATAAAGCGTAAAGAATAGATTTTTACTGTTATTAGTTGTAATGTCAATGGTGTGGAATTTCGTTTGTTTTATGTATTTGTCTCCGGTTGGTTAAAAACATATCACGTGTGAAGGGTTAATTCACCATTCAACTAAACTATATGGTCAAAATATTAGTGGTTAGCATGCGCTATGACAACACGTTGCATGTCTACATGTAGGGTCAAGCTTTTTCTGCAAAGCTGAGTAGATTGGACTAAGGCTTCACGAGCTTGTTAGGCATCAGCACATGGTTGCAGGTCTACTTTCATGCTTAAGCCTATTCTGCAAAGCTGACTAGCTAGGACTAAAGCTTCACGAGCTTGTTTAGCAGCGGCACATGGTCGCAGGTCTACTTTTATGCTTAAGCTTTTTCTGCAAAGCTGACTAGATAGGACTAAGGCTTCACGAGCATGTCTACCATCATGTGTACATGTCAGGCAATGCATCACATATCCGCAATCATGATATTTTCCTATATAAACAGCCCATTGCACAACAAACGTATCCAGACAAAAGAGAGGGAAGTGGTGAAGGATTAGATTTTGTAAAAATAAATTACTTAGCTTATTTTCATAAGTGATTGGTTGTTTTTATCATTGTACTCTTTAGTTGTTTGTCATGGTTTTAATGAGCACGTAGTAGTTCGTTTAGGTATTCTATGTTCACTTCTCTTATGTTTTGCTTGTCTTATGTAAGTGTATGCTTGTTATTTGGGGCTATGGTTGTCGGTGTTATGAAGTTGTGTTCTATACGTTTCCTTCTCCTGTGTGCTACGTTAATTTTCACCCCTGTAATGTTTGTAATTTAGCACCCATTAACAAAATTTAGGCGAAAAGCATTTACAACCAAAATATAAAAAAACGAAATCCAAAATCATCCATTTTTCCAACATCGACAACAAAAGCTAAATTAAATTCATAGTTCCAACATCGTCAACAAATCCATAAAAAATAAAAACCAAAATTCGCAAATAAGCACCCACAAAAGTCTGCAACATCAACCCCAAGTGCACAAGGTCCACTACATATTAGACTTCCCCTACATTTTGACTTTGAATTTTATGACTTCATCGTGTGGGAGGAGAAAGAACGTGCAAACCTCACCAACAACAATGTCGTTGTTATCGATGAATTGTCGTGAATGACCATTCTGTAACAGTTTCTTCCCATGTCCATGTATTATGTCGACATCATACCAAATGTCACCAAACTTCAACATTGCGGAGTTGTAATTCACATACTTGCCTTCAATGTTATCCCTCCAGAATTGCATTGGGATTGGCTAATATAAAATAGACGTTAAAGACAATGTTATAAATATGTAATTATAATGAAATTATAATATTACATCAACCAACATACCAGACGTGCACGCTCAACATGAGTTGGCCTTATCTCGAGACTAAACATGTAATGTGGTAGCCGCTCACATCCATTGGGCTCCATCACCAACACTTCAAAATCAAAAATGGTTCTGGGACGGAACACCAAAAAGTAGCATAGGGTTATGTCTTCTTGAAGAATGAAATCTCTCCAGCCATCCGTTAATGTCGGGCAGTTGTTGACCATATCCAATGTCGCCTCATATTTACGACCCTCAATAGTCTCGAATCTGCACCGTTGTGGCAGCACCACACCATGGTAATGGTGGTGTGTTGCTGGCGGAAATGCCTACAAAAAAGGATGTTACAAGTGTTAGTTAAATACAATGTGTAGGACATCCACTACTGGCCGACATAACCACATAAGTTCATATATGCCCATATACACATATTAATGCATGTAACTCACTGCTTTCTTCTTTGTCTTATACACATATTAATTGAAACTTATACACACACATACACATAAACAATAAATCATTTGAACATGTAGTACACACGTAAACAATATTCCCTGTTTGACTGCTTTCTTCTTTGTCTTTTCAGCTCTCTTTCATCCTGAACTCAGTTTAACATACGCACTAGTATTAATATAACAGATTTAGTGAAGACTGCCCAAATCATAATAACTTAATACTTGACAATCCAGACCTGATAAAAATAAGTTGCAATTTCAAGTGAATGCTAAATAAAAATACAAATATTACTGCACGAGTCCCAAACCTTTTCAATGAGTGGTAAATGCTAATTATATCCAAATCACAACCCTCGTTTTAATGACAGAACAACACCTCATGTACACATGACTAACAAATTACTACATTCCTGAAAAGATGAGTGGGAGATGAAATGAAATCAAATAATTAATTATGTAAAGCATAATTAATTAAATAAGAGTGCAACCCAAAAAGGGAATATTTTACCAACTACAATGCTAAATAAAGGGTACCTTCTCGGGAAAAAAAAAAAAGTAGACTATATTACCATGGTATGGAGCGTACGAAACTGAACAGCCTTGAAGAAATGAGGACTGTCACCGTCAACATCCATGTTGTCCATCCCCTGATTGTCGTCACAACAAAACAGAACAAAAAAAAGGGAGCTTTGCAATGATACATTATAGAATTATATTGCATAAATAATGCAATGATACACACAGAATCCGAATGCATTTCTTTTACAGTCCAACAAAACAACCCAAAAAATATATCTTCAAAAGCAAAATGAAAATAAGCACATCAACTACAAAGTCTTCAAAAGGCAAATCCAACACACAAAACACACATTAATCATTCGCAAGTCCTACCATCACACAAAGTTTCGACATTCCACATCAGACATAAAAGTGTTATACATTTCCAACAAACTACAAACGTCCTTCTTGCATCATTTTCACCATGATAGCTTTATCTTCCATGGACAGGCTGAAAAACATTGACAACTCCTGTTGGTTCTTACATAAGCGCATCGTGACAACCATTTTATCCTCTTTTGACAGGAAATGCATATTAGACAATGAGTCAAACACGGCATTTCTTTTCTTCTCCGCCTCATGCTCAAACCCAAGCCTACATGCAATCCCATTCAAGCTCTCTTTTGTATTTTGAGAAAAGGTCTGCATGATATCAAGAAAACGCTCCTCGAAGGGACTGTCTCCCTTCCTTTTGCTACCATTCACCCTCTTACCTGCCCTATTTCCGGACCCGGACTCCGTACCAGAAGTGCTACCCATGCGAAGACCTGGGCTTCCATCAGATTGGTTCTGATGTGATGGAACATCCTCATTATCCGAGTCTTGTTGGTCTTGCATGACATGCTCTGGAACGTCATTGGCTGCATCTTGAAAGGATTGTGAATTTTCACCTGTAGCTCTGTCTTTCCCAAATATTTCAGCCCAATCGTTGATGTACGGAAAAGATTTGTTCCTAAGTGTTTTTGCATTTAGATCCACCTACATTTACCACATACACGTAATTGGCACAGATGTTTTGAAAATATTATCTCTTTCTTACATCCCATGATGAATGGGTATCATAACTTACCTTTACCCATTGTGCCCAAACTTTATCGTCGCACGAAAAAGTTTTTGTCAATTCACTCCACCCGAAGCCCGAAGTTCCTTTGATGAGTGCCACACTCCTGTAGTTCTTCATCCACACATGTATTTTTGAGCTGATGTGTGGGTCAGCTTGAAGGGTGCAGTCTGGTATCTTTAACTTCAATCTTTTCTCTATCTCAAAATTATATCCCTGCCTAAACCCATTATCTGCCCTCCATCCCTCGATAACCATGTCTTTCAAAATATCTATTAGGACAGACTCCTCATGCCGGCTCCACGTACGTCGTCTTGCTGTTTGGGAGGAGGAAGATCGACCACTTTCTTGGGTACATGAGTAGTCCACGGTGGTACCTGTTCTCACGAAGGCCTCTTTTAAACAAAAAGGATTCGTTTGCATTCTTAATATAAAGACACATCGCATTATCCAAAATAATATATTCGTAAAATTGATTAACAAATAAGTAGACCAAACCAAACAAGAATGGATAAAACGTCAAAACAAAATGGTATAAAAATAAGACAAGCCAACAACCATGGAAACGTTTGTTCACCGAAATCTCATAATCGTATATTGAAAAACAAACTTTGTTAACCTAAAACACATTATTCTGCCAATCATGAAACATATCTTGTGCCAATCGGTCACGGAACTGTGTCCATTCTGGGCTACTATCCACCTGGTCTATGAAATCATCTTCACCCGTAGTTGTGGGCAATCCAACTTCGGGGATCTCAGGAACTAATGCTTCAATTGGATCAGTGGCCATTGATGTACGTATGAAATTGTGTAGGAGCGCGCATGCCATGATAATGCGATTTTGTGTTCGAATGGAATAATATGAGCAACTCCTAAGAATTGCCCATCGCATCTTCAAAATTCCAAAAGAACGTTCAATCGCATTTCTAGCCTTAGCATGACGAAGATTGAACAATTCTCTAAAGTTTTGTGGCCTGCGTGATCCTGTGCCCCACTCTTGTAAGTGGTATCTCACACCCCTATATGGCGCTAAAAAGCCGGGACCATTCGTATACCCACCATCCACCAAATAATAATTCCCTGTGTCACATTTTCATTTATTGTAAATAATGAAAAGCTTGTGTTCTGTTTATTTTGAAAAGAGGATTGGGTGATGTTTAGGTAATATAAAGGTAGTATTACCATTGGGAACACGTAGACCATGAGTCCTAGTAACAGCATCACGCAAAACTCGATTGTCTGCCACTGACCCCTCCCATCCACAAACCATGTAAACGAAGTTCATGCTTCTATCGCAAACCCCTAGTACATTAACAGCTATACTACCCTTACGGTTTCTATAGCGTGCCTTATCAGTAGCAGGGACTCGCACGTCAATGTAGGTTCCATCTAGTGCTCCTAGGCATCCCTAACGAGACAAAACCAAAGATATTTATTAGTTCGTGAGGGTTGAACTAAGAAATTCGAACGACGTTGAGAAATGTGTTGTAGGTTACCTTGAACCATTTCCACCTTTCATCGACACAATCTGCCTCAACTGGTTTTGGTTGCACAACGAGGATAGAGTGAATTCGGATGACAGTGTCAAGAACTCGGTTAAAGTATTTGCTTATGGTTCGACCGGATCTAACGAAATCAAGCTTTAAAGTGACATTCTTCTTATGGTGAGCTAGAATTGAAAGGAAAATAGCCACTTGTTCACTTAAAGGAACATTTCTAGATTGCCTAAGTCTGCCAGAGCTTTCAAGAAGGTGACACAGACGGCCAAAGGAGTTACGGTCCATACGTAGGTTCTTGACACAAGTTGCGTCACTCACGTCGATCAACCTTCGCATGTAGTTGACCTGATGTGGGAGTCTATCACTAACTCGAAATAACGGGACGTGGTTACTGCCCAAACGTCGTCGTTTTCGCCGAGGACGGATGAATTTCATATAGTAATAAGTAGCTAGTAGTAGAAAAAGTTGAACACTACACACGACCTCTTCCAATATAGCAACAACCGCTAATTCTTCTCCAACCGAATCCATCTACAAATGTGGCTGAATAAACCTGATTGACACGCTTATTACACTGAGTTGTGGAGAACTAAATGTAGAAATACCATCAATATATCATACATAACAAAGTCAGATCAATTTATCCATCGAGTACAATCCATTCGACAAATATTAATATAGTCCAATCATATCCCGACAAAAAAGCGATGCCGACCTACACAACTATCCTACAGTGGTTCAACCATTACTTTAAACTAGAGCATATAATTGCATACATTTTCTAATTCACTATAGAAATTTATTAAGTAATGCTTCTGCTTTTGTTTGAGTATTTTAATGACATCCTAACATAAAAAATCAATCGTTTAGTATTTTCTGTACATGCACTGCTTTTGACCAGGCTAGTGCCATCATATAGAAACACGATGAGAAAAGGGAACACAAAAAATTAATTATGGGGAAGACCATCCAATTATCTTGTTTATTTGGATATCTTCTCTTTCACCAGCTTCCTTCATTTGCACATATATATACAAATTACTATCAGGCCAAGTCACTAACCACATTTGGATTTTCATAATGAAAATCACACCATTTAATATACGCAGACAAGCACACAAACTCATATAGCACACGAGCATAATAGGTTATTGGCATGACCAAGGGATTAAAAATCTGAGCCTTGTCAGTTAAGAAAATGCATTGGCAGTTGCTTTGTTTTTTAGTTTGGTTTTGAAAATGGGGAAACACCGTGAATGAACCCCTGAATTTTCTCCCTAAATTCACTTCTGATTCAAATGCAACCTTCAGAAGAACTAACAGTAACATTGGCCCAACTCAAAAGGACTTCACTTTTACTAGACTAAGAAAAGTATATTTCGGTTATTTCAGTAACTGCCTAGGGGCAAATGGACCAGTGGATATTCAAAATATTCTTTTATTCCCATTCTGTAAGTTATGTCTAAGACATAGCACGATATTTTTGAGCAACTAGCTTCAAATGTCAAATGTGTGATGCATGAAAAAACTAGCTTCAAATATACTGTGTTCCGACTTCGGCAACACTTGATTGATGAGCTATTCATGCATTAAGCAACCAAAGATAATCCAAACTCATTGATGATGATAATTGATAAATATGTTACCTAATGAAGTTATGTACCATATCATGAATATATCCATCAGTACATGAATGAAGATAGAATATGATCAATTTCTTAAATATCGTGTCCAAACAAAATTTACAAAGAAAACTCAGCAATCAACTGGAAGCATTTTTTACAGAGATGAAACACGATGACGAAAGTAATGGCAGAGTCAATTCTATCTAATGCAATTATGCTCATGAATATTATATGGCAGAATCAGTCTCTTGTTAATTATTGTAAAAATTCCTCCTCTTGTTTAGATGTTTATTGAGTGGCAACAGGAAAAATGAATGTTCAATCTATAAGGGCTAAAATCTGACAGCAAGATACTAGTGAATAACAGAGAAAACATTAATACTTCAACCTGCAGCTCACACAGACGCAAATCTTCATCAATTAAAAGTAACAATAACTTGGAGAAAGGAAAACAGAGTAGAAGGAAAAAAAAAAAAAAAAAAAAAAAAAAAAAAAANAGTTTAGTAGATCAGACTAGGGCTGGTATCAGTTTGGTTACCGAATCGATATTGAACCGATTATTTCGGTAACTACAAATATAAAACCGTTATCGAACCGTTTGTAATCGGTACGGTTCGGTAACGGTTTCCTACCGAAAAAATCAAAATTTACCAATAATAAATGAGAGGGCCGATTTTTTATTTTTTTTTGTTTTTCTGGTTAGTGGGTGAGATGAGCATGCATGAAATTAATACTCATCAAATTTTGATTATTGTACTTATACACTGATTAATAGAAATATACAAACCATAAAGTTAATCCACAGATGCGGAAGTGGTCGAGCATACTACGACTTTTGCTGAGGCAAATTTATTTGCGAACAGGACATCCAATATCTAGAATGAATGTCGGCAACTGTTGGATTTCCTGAATATTGCTTATGATGGTTTTCAAGTCCTAAATAATGCTTTGTAATTATATCCAAAAACTGCTTGCTCTGTTATGCATTCACATAAGTTATTAGTATTAAGTTGTTAATTATTCGTTTAAATTATTGATATTAGTATTAAGTTATTAATTATTAACATTAAGTATTAGTTTATTTTATTTTCAAATTCCTTATCGGTTCGATTCGGTAAAACCAAGCTCTTATGGTTTTTAAACCGATACCAAACCGACAATCCGTTACCATTATAAATAAGTCGGTATAGTTCGATTTAATTTCTCATCGGTTCGATTTGGTTCAGTTCGATTCGGTTTTTTGTTTTCGATTTAAAAATGTCAACCCTAATTGGAACGTCTATTGTAATTTATTCGAGTACTTTTATAATATTTGAGTGACTAAAAAAATGTTGCCCTTACACATGCATTAATTTTGGCAAAAAATCTATGAAGTCATCGGATGGTTTTTTTATGGAGTCATCCACCACTTAATGTATTGACACCTGTCAAAATTATATTTATTGCAGGACACGTGTTAATACACTATTGGTGAATAAGTGTGGATGGCTCCATAGTTCGTGTCATCCGGTGGTTCCATAACAAAACTGTTAATTTTGGGGTGAAATGTAGAAATCATAAAATTTGGAGGGTTAAATTGCATTAATCTGAGCACTCACAATGTTTTTGGTTCATTCACAAAAATATACATGCTACATAGAAAATAGACCCAGTCAACAAAAATATGTATTCGAATGCAAGTGCAAGTGGACCGGGTCCTGCTTATGTGATAGCAAGAAAAAAAAGACTCGGTCTAGTCTTAAGTCTATTTTAGACCAAGTAGAGACTTAGTCTCTTTTGATTAGAGTTAAATTCGATATTTTTATATATTTTTATCCATGTCATTCAAAACTTCTCTTTTGATTAGAGTTAAATTCGATACTTTTATATATTTTTATCCATGTCATTCAAAACTTGGGTCTATTTAGATGTCAATTATAATTATGGATGGTCTTAAACGCATGAAAAACCTTGGAGCAGAGGCGATTGTAGCAAATTTGGGAACGCCTTTGCCTCTCTCCGGATAATCAATAATCTTCGAAATCCCTTCAGATCGTCTTCACCTCTTTAACATTCCCTTCAAGCTATTCGAACTTCTCCACACACACGCACACACAAAGAAAGCGCATTCGCTGTGGAAGGTTAAGGCTTGATCGAGATGTCGAATCGATTCATTAGCCAGAGAAGTAATGATTCCAGGAACACCGCAAAACCCCAGAAAAAACACGCCCCGAAGTCGGATTTTCGAAACCCTACCTCCCACAACACCCTCTCCAACTCCCTCCGGGAAGCCGCCGCCGGCGGTCCCTCGATGGCGCCGCCGACGAGCAGAGTTAGGATGGGCGAGGACGGCGAGTGGGTGAGCAAGGCCCCGGTGGGTGGCAATTTCGTAGTTTACTTGCCGCAGGATGATGCGGTGGCGGCTGGGCTTGGGCCCGAGGAGGGTGGATTGGATCCTGTGGAGTCGCAGCACGTGGTTGATTTGCTGAACAGGGAATTGTCTCGTCTGCTCAAGCTGCGCCCAAGGGATTTCTGGAGAGAAGGTTTCTATTTGTTGTTCTTGACTTTGAGAAGCTCTTAATGAAGTTGGTGATGCTCTTTAGTCCATCTGCAAGTGTGAGGTCGCAATTTTTCTATTTAACGAGACTTTGTGTTTATTTTCAGTGGCTACCGATGAATCCTTGCATGCCTTCCTCGAAAGTTTCCTGAAATTCAGAAGCAGGTGGTATGATTTTCCACACCGAGGGGCCCGGGGTATTGTTGCTGGGGTTATAGTTGGCGAGTTCGAGCTGTGCCGGCGTATCTTCATGATCTTGTATCGCTTGTGAGTTACTGAGGAACTGTTGTAATTCACTCTCTTATTCAATTGGCGTGTAGTATCTGATGCTGCAGTCTCTTTTCTGCAGATCATCAAACCGTGACCCAGGGGCTAAAGCTGCTGACTCTCTGAGTTCAAAAGATCATGAAGGTGTGTGGTGATACTTTGTTGTGCTTCTGGTTCATGTGCCGACGATCTTTAGTCTTGCATTGTTGCTATAATCATGCATAATCTTTTTCCTTGCTATTTGGTAGACCCTGTTGTGATTGTTTTGTGTCAATTGCATGAAATATGGCTTTGGTTTTAAGCCCCTTCAATATATAACTGAAATTTGAGCATCTAATTCTATGGAAAACGAAGAATTCAAACACCGCAGCATGCTATAAATAATTAGACAATGCAGAAATTTACTTCCATTTTTCTTTTGATTTAATACCATAATCTTATAGCATAAATCTACTTCCACAAAATTATTCCCCCAACACTTCGTGTTAGTGCTTCTCTTTGTGTGTGTGTAGGTGTTTAGGGTTACCTGTGAAATTCCAACACCGAAAATTGTTTTGATTCTCTTGTAAATTAATCTGACGCAGAGGCTGCTCTGTTATTTCTTATCATTTGCGATCAACTCATCAACCTTTACTCACGGATCGAATACCCACTATGCCACGGTTTCAATTCATCTTTTTTTTTCTGTTTCAAGTTCAGCATTTTATCGACTCTTTATGTCGTTTGTCAACTAGTTGCTGTTATGAGTCATGCCGCGTACATTTCCGGGAAAATATATGTTGGTCTATAAATGAAGATTTATTGGTGTTGCAGCATACGTTCTTAGTATGTTCTAGAAATTTCTGATTCAAGACTAAAAACATTATCCTGGTGGGATTTGTTTGATTACAAAGTTTTCAAAGGGTATTGGTCAACTACAAATATATACCTGTGAAACGAATCTTGGCTTTTATGCATTTTGTTTGCAAAACTGTTTTTGCAGAGCTTCTACAGGACAAGAAGTTGCTCGATTTACTAAAACTGTTAGACATATGTGCCATATTTGCTCATGAAAATGAAGATCTAACCCGAGTATTGGTATGTGCTTAGAAGCTGGGTTTACTGACACTCTTCATTCCATTGGCTTTCCCCTAACCACTTAACTGTCTCTCACATGTAAATTCTTCCATTTTCCAGGTGATGAACGCGCTAAAGGCTCAGCCTGATATCCAGTGTGAATTTCCTGTTCTAGTTTCTCACTTCTTGAGCATTGTCCAGACTATGCATCAAAGATGCAGCTCATCTTTAGAGGTACCTTTCCATTATAACATTTTTAACGTGATGTTGCTGCCTTGTGTTAAATAATCCACATGCAAAACTTTTACTTCGGTTTTGGCGCACAGGTGTTGCTTGGTTCTGGAGCCCATCAAGACCCAGGTTCCAATCGCCTTCATTTGGACTATCTAGAGGTAACACATGCTGTTTGGGGGCCAAATTTCTCCCTCCTTTTCTTAGATACCATGCCCATTGGTACTAGTATAGAACACACTGCTTTCTTTTATATCAACAAATGTGCCTGATTACTCTACATTTTTTGAGAGAACTATCATAAGACAGTTTTGCGGACTTTGATTTTAGATCTCCCTTTTAAGGGATAGAACATTAAATTCATCATTGGTCATTTCCCGTGCAGTTCTTTTGATTTTTATTTTTATATTTTATTTTTAATTTCTCTTTTTGACAGATCCCACTTTTTATCCTCAGGTTATGGACTTCATAAATGATTCGGTAGTAACGCTCGACTCATTTGTTAATGCATATAAATATGCAGCTCTCGTTTTCTCTTCACCGATTGAAACAGGGTACCACACTTTTGCCTTGTCTTTTAGTTAAGAATAATTAAGTGATAACAATCGAATTGAATTGCTTGTAGCTTTCTGCATCAGTTTACAAGCTCCCATGTTAGATTACATGCTTAAAAATGTGGCTGGCTCTCTTAGTCTCTTTAGAACTCCATGAGTAGGGACTTATTAGATTTATGCTTTGTGTAAGAAAAATCTTTTTTAATGGTATTTCTCATGTGAACATGACCTCAAATTGTACCTGTTATTCCCATTTCTCCTTAAAACTTGCACATTGAATAATGTTGGAATAAATTATATTGAGGTGTTATCTGCTGATGAGTGATGACTTATAACCTGACCTTGTCTAAAGTTCTACCATAATCTCTTCGTCCGACATCAGTAGCTCTTCAACAATTCGGGCTACATAATCATTGCCTCCTTGAACTCAACTCGAACTTAACTGGATCTGGGACTCTTAACTTTGGGTTTTTATTTAAGAAAGTGAATTATTTTAATCAGGGTGGCCAATATTCATGTTTTTTTATGGAAAGGTTCAGATGTCAATGCGTTCAAGAACTGGTATTGTTATCTTTCCCACCAGCCCACCCCATTAATTGATAAAATCAACTTTTTTCATTATCCGTGCAGTTATGGGAATGAGGAGTTGCTTGTTATGCTTGCGAGGCTTCATGATTCACTTCTACCTTCTCTGTATAACGGGTTCCATACGCTTTTGGGAGTGTCCAAAGATAAAAAGAAGGAAATATCAGGCGATTCACTTACAAATGTTTTTACTAGTCTGAAAATGCTGTCGACAAGAATAGCAAAATTGGGGTGGACACTACTTTATTATTGCTTTCTCAGTGACGATGCTTTTGAGAGCAGTACTTATTCTCCTCCGGTTTCACTGAAGATGTTCCCAGCTACCGTGGACGACCCTGTCGTGAGGACCGACATTTTGATTCAGACATTAAGAGACCTCACGAACGAGCAAACACACGTCCTCATTGACCACACTTGGGGAACATTCATCCAACAAATCGAGAAAAATTTCAAAATGGTGAGCAGGATCGAGTTTTTGCAGGAATCAGGTAACCTTTTTTTTTTTTTTNTGACAGGAACAAATTACAATGACATAAAATAATAATTTTTTTCTGAAGGTTGGCTATAAATTACAATGACATAAAATAATCATTGTTTTTCTGAAGGTTGGCTATAAATTACAATGACATAAAATAATCATTGTTTTTCTGAAGGTTGGCTATAAATTACAATGACATAAAATAATCATTTTATTTTTTTTTCCTGTAAGGTTGGCTATCGATGGATGACGAGCAATTCCATCTTCTCTCTGCAATCACGATGACACAACCACACGCCGCCATTGCAAAAAACACGGGTCCCGCCACGTCATCGCCAGCCCCCACCAGCAAAACCCAGATGACGGATGAAGACACGGCGATTACAGAATCCAAAATCATCCAAATAAAGGAACTCTTTCCCGAATATGGCCGAGGCTTCCTAACAGCCTGCCTCGAAGCTTACAACCACGACCCAGAACAAGTCATCCAGAGGATTCTCGAAGGAACCCTTCACGAAGAACTCCAATCCCTCGACACATCGCTCGAGACAGCACCACCTTCAAAATCCACCACCCTTCCTTCAAACAACACCCGTGACAAGGGCAAAGGGAAACTAGTCGAGCCAACATTAGCCAACAGCTCTTCGGCCTCGTTCGGGAGGTTCGTGCGCAAGAACACTGACAATGACGGCCTATCCTACTCGGAAACCCTTAACACAAAAGACAAGAAAGAAGTCGAGAAAACGGCGGCACTCGCGTTGCAGCTCGAGTACGAAGACGAGTACGACGACTCGTTCGACGATCTCGGGCTGAGCGTCGCTGACGCGGGCCCGGACGAGGCGGAAGGAAAAATGACGAAAATGCCCCTGGGTGGCGGGGACAAGTGGGGGTCGCGCAAGAAGCCGCAGTACTTTGTGAAGGACGGGAAGAACTACAGCTACAAGGTGGAGGGCTCGGTGGCGGTGGTGGACAGGAATGAGGCCCGTTTAGTGAACCGGGCCCAAAGGGAACTCGTTCACGGGCTTGGGCAGGGCGGGAATATTCCTATAGGGGCCGTGAAGAAGTTGATGGACGAGGTGGAAGAAGAAGATGAAAACGGGCATGAAGGTGAGGGTGTTGGGAGACCAGGTGGTGGGGGTAG